CACACCCATATATTTTGCATAAAGAGAGCATAAAAGAGGTAATGGTGGGATCCCAGGATTTGACACAGATGAGTTCCTCATCGCCCCACCCAGAAAACGATTAGTAGCCGACATTTTACCGATCGGCACAACATTTTACCCAAAACACGCATCTCCCGAATCACCGAAAATAATAGAGAAACTTTCCTGAATATACACCAATAATTAAGGTCTCCTAAATATGCTTGCTGAACTGCGGCTGCGTCAAGCGTCACATGACTGGGACCACATATTGTTCACAGAAAATCGGCTGATTACAGAAATTACCGTCGCTTAGGTCATGATAAATGCTATGTCTCTTCGCCGAAACGATCGACCTAGAAACGGCGGGGGAAAATTTTATCCTATCGAAACGACCTACAATGTGAACTGGTGGTCGATACGGAAATGCTGATAATTGACTCCGTCTGGTACAGTCTGCGACTTCGACACAACGACAATTGCCCTTTGCCAGTTGTTTATGTCCCGCTAATGTACACCGAAAATGATGGACTCCCGACTGGCATTATACTTGGAAAGGGTTTTACCTGAACGATACAGTCCTTTTCTCATCTCAGGCGGCTTCAATATTCCTGATTTGGAAGTTACGGCATCTCCAACCGAGCAGTTTAAGACGCATCTGTTGTATCAAGAAAGCCGTAGGAAAGGTAAAATGTATCTGGCAAAATTAATCAAGTACAACTGAGTCAATCCCTTGTTAAACGGAGAGTCAAGCGACAGACGCACACAACCAATAGTAATGAGTCAGCAAGCCAACCAATGAGATCGAGCCAATCGATGTTGCTGACATGATTACCACATTATCGTTCCCCCTCCGAAAAGCTGCCTCAACCGGGTTCGTAGCGATCAATAGGTTTCACCGTTCTCGCGGACCGGCGAAGCTGGTTTCGTGGTAATGGTAACTCAGCCGGGACTTCGCGCGCGGATCGGCCGGGCTGATTAGCTGGTCCGTGAGCTGTGTGGAGTCGACGCGCGTTGACAATTAGGCCGTTCTCCAATCGATAAGTGCCCGGGCCAAGCGTACGGTCGATGCGCAGTGGAGCGGAAAGCGAAGGTGTGCCTTTCTTTGTTGCTCTGCTTTTGACGCGAACGTATGTCCCGGGCTGCATCGGTGTTGATAATTTAGCGTAAGAATTTTGGTAAGATGCTATGCGATTTGAAACTTCTGCATCTCTCGCTGATAAAACGTTATGTGCAGCATTTAACTTTGTGCGTAAGGGCCTACCTAGCATCAGCTCCGCTGGCGTTCTTCCTGTGGCTCTGTGGTCACATGTTCTGTAGGAAAAAACCGCAGTTAAAACTGCATCCAATGGGGTTTCCCCGCGTAGATTCATCCTGCCCGCGACGCCACAATGTTGTATCGAAAAAGCCGTAGGAAAGGTAAAATGTATCTGGCAAAATTAATCAAGTACAACTGAGTCAATCCCTTGTTAAACGGAGAGTCAAGCGACAGACGCACACAACCAATAGTAATGAGTCAGCAAGCCAACCAATGAGATCGAGCCAATCGAGGTTGCTGACATGATTGCCACAGCATCTTCGAGAGTAAATTGCAAGCATTCGGCTCCTCAACCATGCCAGTTTGTCCAGCCGATTCAGAGCCGGAAAGTAACCATTTGTGCTTGATTTAATGTTCACGAACGAAGAACCGATGGTTGAGAAACCAAGGCCAGAGAACTCTCTGGGGCGGAGCGAGCACGTAACTTAAAGCTACGACTTCATGTGTTATGTGATGTATCAACAAAAATTCTACCATGTTTCGAACAAGCTCCCACTACGACCTACTGGCAGAACTTGTGGGAAATGCCAGCTTAGAGTTTCCAGACGACTGTTCCATTGACAGTGCTTTAATGGATTTTACTGGCAAGTTAAGTTATCTGATTAAACCTGCATAGGTCAACAAGCCTCTTCGTTCTGCTAAGGCACAATCATTCATTCGGAGTAGAGCCGGAAAACACATGACAGTAATAGGCGTCGCTTGGCGTGTGTATGGAGCTAATACTTGCTTTGAGAGCGGCAGTAACTGTCTTTTGCTTCGCAATCGCTGTACCATACTTGTGTGCGAGGATATCTTAGTACACCAGTAGAAGCTGGCGGAAAAGTTTGTGTTAAGCAAAAACTTCTGTACAGATATTCACACAGCCTCTGGAAGCTAAAACGAGCTGTCACCCGCTAACATCACTAACCAGATGTGCTCAAACCGCCGAGGCTGTAGCCAACGTTGTACTGCTAAACTTCTCCGACGTGCTACCAGCGTGTGTAACAGACCTATCAGATTCTCTCAGACGCCAGTATTTATACATGTCACCTATAGTTTGGCGACCATGTTCAGGAAGCTGCTATCGTTGCGCAACCATAGGCATTCATGAGTTGACAACATTCTCTCAAAAACACTGCAGTTGTCAGCTACGAGGATAGGTGAATCATTACCGAGCCTTTTCTAAAGATACATGGACGAACAACAGGTCACTGACATGTGGAAGCAGGGCAACACCACGATTTGTAAAAGTGGTGGCCTTTCAGAGCCAGCCAATTATCGCCTAGTGATTCTCCTCCCTGTGCTCTCAAAGGTGATGGAATCGATCATAGATAAGGCTGTATTAGGCTACTTCAACAGGTTTAATTTCATAACACCGCAGCAACTTGGATTCCCTCAACATCGGTCTTTTACTACTAACCTACTGATCGCTCCTGACAGCTGGACCGATATAGCCGACAGTGGGACCGTCCTTGATATCATCTACCTAGACTTTTCTAAAGCCTTTAACAACACGGATTACCTCATTCTTCTTCAAAAGTTGCAAGCGTACGGCGTTGGAAATGCTGCCCTTGGATACTTCGATAACTTCCTCCTTCAGCTGCGCTTTTGAGGTTGAAGTCGGTGCTTGCTTCACATCAAATTAATGTGGAATTCGGTGTTCCACAAGGGTCAGTGCTGGGGCCGCGGTTATTTTTGCTCCTCATTAACGACCTTGCGAGTGACATCAAGTCAAATTTCCTGCTTTTTGCTGATGGCATCATGATATGGGGGACAATTGGCTAAGAATATTACAGTATGTTGCAGCTTAACTTTGACCGCACCATTGCGTGGTCAAAGGTAAATCTAATTCCATTTAACGCGGACAAGTGCAAAACCGTGCATGTTTGATAAATGCCCACATACACATAGAACCTTGGAAACGACATTCTAAAAACCGCCTTAAAGAAGAGAGACTTACAGGTGTTGATGCAATACGATCTCGGCTGTTCGGTGCAGTCCTTGAAGACGTCCAAAAACTGCGAACTAACATTTTGTCTGTTACGCAGGGCATTCGGGTGATTTGATTCCTCCATCTTCCCCCAAATGCTCAATGCGTGTGTGAGGCGTCAACTAGAGTGCACAGTCTAGGCCAAGTAATCTTGGTTTAAATGCGATCTGGCTGCGCTGGAGACCGCCTAGCGTAGGGCAATGAACCATGTGAAAGTGTTGTTTCACATCAAATACTATGGCAGACTGAGAGCCCTGGGACTGTAGAGCGGCAGATATCGCTGTCTGCTGGGTGACCTCATCCTGACGTTCCAAGATCTAGCAAAACCTCAATCACGATTGCTGCCATCTCTTGAAACTTAGCTGTAACACAGAACTGAGGGGTAATAACATGATACTTGACACCCAATACAGTCGGCTTGAGTGCAGCTGGAATTATTTCTCCCCTCAATTTTGTCAACCTTGAAACGCTCTTACAAATTTTGTCAGTTCCGCGCCCGTGCTAAATATTTTTAAAATCGACTCGACCACGTACATCACTTGATGTGCTTTCTAATCATTGAGCGACTACATGGCGCAAGCAAACATCGTGCTCACCAAGTTCACGAAATCGGGGCAGACTGGTATACCTTTATGTTAACGTGGATATTATAGTGTGTCCACAGATGCGTATTTTTCAATTTTGAGCAACTTTTTTGAACTAAGGCTGGTACCACATACCATCGCACGGAACTTGTCAAGCCTTGGCTTTTTTTACCCGTATTATACCATTGTTCCATTGTTTGCTAAATCTGCGAAGTTAGTAATATCCAGCTGATTGGAAACTTTTACAACTAACATTCTTACTTCAACATGCTCTCCCCTGGCCAACCAGACTTTTGCTCAAGTAAACAGAGCCATTTTGTCACTTCGCGTAAAAGGTAACTGCATAAGTGCACATAAAACAGCATAATTTCACCTTTTATACACCACAGTTTTGCGGTAAGGGGATATGGTTTTTCAAAATGTCGAGCTGATTACTTTGCTGCGTATTCACCGTAAGTATAACAGTGTACTTAGCTGTGTTTATATGGCGTTTTTACACGGGCCTGTCTATGCATAGCAGTTTTTATTAACTGTGACCTTACATACTTTTTATCCCAATGACTTTAAACTACCTGGCCATGTCCGTTTACAGTCAGTTAATTCACAAAAACGTCCCGTTGAAAGCAATGGAGCGCGACGCACTTAATCTGAAGTATTAATAAAGAGGGGGCCAGTTGATGGCAAACGGATAATACACTGTTTTATGGTACTTAAAATCCGGTGACTACGGGTATCGAACTAACACTAATAGCAGACATTTTTGATTACATTTAGTTGGTATAGTTGATTTAGTAAGTTAAATAAGTATGTGAACACATACTCCAAAGAACTAAATATATGCACATGTTTAACTTGTCCACACTAACGTAATTTTTGCAAATGCAAACTAAAGTGAAAACGCAAGATGATTTTTGTGAAGTAACCCCAAAATGGTGCTTTGAAGCTTTATCGAATTATTCGTGTTTCAAATTTAAAAGCCGTCTCCATTATTATTTGACTACTTAGAATTTGTCGCAATGATACTTATGGCGATACTTATGCCATAAAGCGTAATTTAAGTGCTTTGAAAAGACCATATGCTTAGTGTTATTCCATATTGAACATATTTGAATTCTTCCCTACTATCTAGTTCTACTTGCGCTCTCGCTGGTGTGGTGCTGTCCCCGAAAGAAAAAGCCGACTGCATCTACAGGCACAAAGACGTCTCTGGACAATGAACAATTCGGTACAGATAATCAGTTGAACGATACATGGGATTCAGGTTTGTATTTGCTCGCTTGAGATTCCCAACAGAGTAATCAAACCTCCAAATATGTAGCTGCTTTTATTTCGAGTAATGATGTGTGTATCGAAGCTGCGCTTTAGTGATTTTAATGCTTGCAATTAAGAAAACTATTTTATTATTGCTGCTGATTATGCATCTATCTTAACACACACATACTTAAATAATATGATGAATAAATGCAAGCGTTTACTTGGCTGCATGAGTATATACACAAAAGACCGGTTGGTAAGAAGTTATTACCTATTTAAAGGATTGTGGTAAATAAAGATCATATCACAGTATGTTTTGTAAGCAACCAAGCGCTTTGAAACCTTTAATAACACTTCTTTTAGAAGATGAAGTTCAATAAGCTTGAACTGGATAACGGCATTTTACCGACAATTTGCAACGCCAAACACTTGCGCTTTCCTTATAAACATGTAACAACAACTTCCAACTCCATATAGCTAACGGATATGGCTTCAAATGACATAGGTAAAAAATACCGGCGTATTATTATGTGCATCTTTATACGCAGAGTTTTTATATGGCAAGGAATAAAAGTTGGTGGCTAAGCGATATCGGAAGATCAGGCGAAATAATTGCCTGGCATTGTAGGGTTCAGAGGCAAACAAAGTAAATGGCTTTAAGCCAAGTCCTTCAAGCATATCAACGTTCCATGTGAATGAGCAGCAATAAAGATTTACACTAATCTCATTAACTGCACAAGGAGATAGTAAATTGAATCAGTCAAGAACACCGAAAATTCAATTGGTGGTGCAATGTTTACCGAGAGTGGACTTGTTTAAATCAGGCTGAAAAGGTAAACCTATGGGGATTACATGTGGTGAGACAAATTCTCATAGTGCATTCTGGTTAAATGATGTTGAGCAAATAATATACTTAAATGTTAAGTCACAATCAGAATTGAGGTCCACAGGACACAACGTTTGCGTTTGGACAGTTATAAGAATGGCGTACTAGATTGTGGGAATCAAACTGAAAGGATCCTTGACTGGTACGAACATGTCACAAGAAAAGCAATCGGAATTCTTTTATCATTTTATTATTCGTATATGGTAGGTATACCTAATTAGTTGACCTACTCAACAACTATAATATTGTTACGTCTCAAATGCAATTTGCTATTAAGGCACGAATTATGTTCTCACTCCATCGGGCGCTTTGGAAAACAGTATTATAATATGAAAGAATGCAGCAAAATTATTGACGTGCAGATGGCGGAAATTGTCATTCGGAAAGCGGCACTGCTCAAGCCATCTGGTGGCGTCAAATGAAAGCGTTTGTTACTACTTAGTTCTGCCACAACAAGCGGGTTTGGAATCCACCAGACTTCATAAACGGTTCCATCGGATTCTCTTCCACAGAACTTTTTATGCATCCACGAAACTTTACCAAATGTAAAAAGCAAACGTCGAAGTGACCGGTCACACATTTGCTGCAAGATTTAACGTAGCTGGGAATATATTGAGCTATTGTGATCCGAGTAATGGTAACGTGAGCAGCAAGTCAGATGCCTACCGGATATATGTAAACAGTGCCCTTATACGGTGATAGGCAAATAAACCAAATTGAATTGATCAGAATTTCTCAACAAGTAAAATGGTGCAGTTCAATTTCAGAGGACATGTCTTGACCTCATTGTTTGGTGTTAGCGTAGACTCACGACAAAAGCGCAAGCGTCATCATGTTTCTGGACAGCGTATTAGTAACATGGAATTAACTATGATTGCAGGTGCTGGGGAAAGCAGAGCCAAGTTGAAATCTGTTTGATGCATGTCAGCAGCATTATAATACGGAAAGTGCCTTATGTCATGGTCGGAAGATTTAAGCAAATGGATCACATTTTGATGATCCGAGATCACGGTATTTGAAGTTTCGGAATTAATTTTGCGCATGCTCACTGAGTTTATCCGGCTTTTTGCTCTGGTCTCAAACATCGCAGTATTATGAGAGTACGTGTGTTACTACCTTATCCGGTGAGTTGAAATAGGATTGCTTTTATGAATGTAGTCATTATGTATGTAACTATGGCTGACACCGGTTTGTTGCATTTGTTGCCTATATGGGTAAGGGTTTCTTCCTTACGGTATTTGAGAACATATCAGTTCTACCGCGTAACTGACTTTACAGATATGCTACTTGGCATACTGTGTGCGATGCTTCGGTTAGTTGATATAGCTGAACCTTGCAACGTACTGTGATACAACATAACACCGCCTGTCTATTGTTTTCGTAAAGTTATGTGTAACCGAGAGATTCATGTTGTTGATTATCATATTTTATTGGGTTATTACTAGGAATCTCTAGTGTGCTGTGTATCTAAAGCATCTTAGAAAATTGCTGTAATTACCAGTAGGGATTAGACTGTGTGCTGTGCGATACTACGTACACATATTTAAGTTAAAAGGACTTTGTAATCCACCTGCTACATCCACAGGTAGTCATTTTCTGGCCACCTGTCATCAGTTTGATCTGGCCAAAATGTCTACAATGGTGTTAAGAAATACTATCACGTTTTCTACCTTTCGCTGAGACAATCGCAATCAGCTGTATCAAACCTGCTCTCTTTGTACAGAAACAGTTGTTTGTAAGCCTACGCCTTCCCTGGGCGTAGGGGTCTCACGCCTGCCCCCTACCCTGTTCTAACTTGTTTCGGGCTTACCTTACCTGTCGTCTTATATATTTGCATGTTATTGTGTTGACACTGAAGAGACAATATGAAATGTTGGCACCTACCAGTGCTCGTCTTTTTACGGCTTTATTCTAATTACCAACGGGGTCTAATTGCTTCAATTACTCACAATTTAGCTGAACATAACGATTAACCGTTAACTTCACACAATCTTGGTGGATGAATTTTTATTCCAGGCGACAAAGCATTTTCTGGACCCTTCAACACTCCTGTTATACAAGCGGGCACGAAAGGGTCACAGCTGGATGGAATAATAAACTTTCGAAATGGGGACATTCCAGGTAAATTCCTATTTCCAGTCAACGAGCTTGATCAAGCAACTATTACCGACTAAGACAACTGACTATTAATTAAAATTTAAATCCGTAGGCAAGAATAAGTTATACATAAATAGGGAAGTGTCTATTCCACGTTGAGCTCTCATGGTTTCTGAAGACTGAACGAATCCTACTAATTGTCATCCTAATTGTCATTCTACTAATTGTCATCCATGCAGTTCACACTGATAAGTTTTGTCTAGAAGTGCAATGCATTGCTTCTTATGAATAACTGAGAAACACTACGAGTCTTAGGAGGTTCTCAAAATCGCAGGAAACATTTTCGTCAGTCGAGTTAATAGTGCGGTAAAAAGCTAAAGCTTTTGTTTCCTTACCGCACTTACCAGCTTGCAAAATTAAACTAAATATCACGTCAAATTTAACAGAAGCAAAAGCGAATGATTGCAGTTCACTGCCAACTATTTAACTATATCTCAATGTCTCTATGATGAAAAAATATGGAGTAGTTTCCCGGACCCATCGTAATGAGGCTGGACCTTACCGGGGTGCAATGGTTTGTGTGCCTCAGCGATCCATTGAGCTATGCTGGCTGGTGCGTTTGCACCTTCAGAGTCACTCATACCAGATTGGTCAATGGTTAGAGGCCAGACCAACTCAACCTCCTGGTCCTCCAGGTTAGGGGTCGGAATGAGGGTGGCGCTTTATTCCTTAAAACGGACTCCTTGTAGTCCAACGCCAAACCCGCTGCCTTGCGGTAAGGTTTTTGAACCAAAGGCTTTGGTTGAGAACCCCAATCGTTCTTCTGTCTAGGCATGCGCAACCTGACAGTATCCTGCCCATGCCGTACTACGAATCCTTCGTCAAACAATTTCTTGATGCTCTGGGCGCCGCAGAGAATAATCAACGGTGCTCTATCCGCTGCATCGAGGAGGGTTGATAGGGTTTGGATGCTTCTGCTCAAGCCTTCCCGTCTTCTTACTCCCCTCTCTTACGCTTTTTCACTCTTACCGTCCCGTTCCAACTTCACTTATATCCCCCCAGTTTTCAACTCCCGATTCTTTGCCCTCCCCCAACATGCTTTGCTAGGCATTTATCTTCTAATTTCAACTCATATGCTAACGCAGGAGCGTAACTCCTCTCTTGCCGACAAACTCATGTCCAACCAAGCGGTCCATTCCAGTTCACCGGCTTCCATTTGGAGCCCTCGATCCTCCTTCAGCTTGGCATGCCTCAATGTACGCACATTACTACAGATCGGTCAACAGGCCGCACTTGCCCGAATATTGGAGACCCTCTCGAGTGATATCTGCTGTTTATCAGAGAGCCGCCTGCAAGACTCGAGCTCTGTGCTCACTCTGCAATCCCCTTCAGGTGACACTAGCAGCACTTTCTCATTGCGCCTATCCGGTGACGATGCAGCTTCGAGCATCGGCCAAGCTGGTGTTGGTATTGTCCTGAGTAATCGGGCTGAATCTGCTCTGATTGATTAGATTCCAATCAGTAGTCGGATATGAGCGGTCTGATTGGCTGACTTATTCAAATCTTCGAAGTCGCGCGGAACTAATAGGTGTCTATTCATCAACGCTGCCTACACGCCCACAAACTGTAGCGATGATTCGGTAAAGAACGACTTCTACTGCCAACTGACCCAGCTCCTTCGCCACAGAAGAAGCACGGACGCTGTTGTGCTGGCCGGAGATCTGAACGTACAAGTTGGAAAGTTGTCCACTGATGAAATGCATCTGGGCGGTCCGCACGGTGTAGGCCCCCGTAATGATAACGGCGAGCGGTTACTTCATTTGTGTGAAGGTGCCTGCCTCTTTCTTGCGAGCATTAACTTCCGACCCAGTACCCGCCGGAGGGTGACTTGGCGCTCACCAGCCTCGAACCAGCCCTGGATTCAGATCGATCACATTGCTATCAGTTACCGCTGGAAAGGCTGTATCCAGAACTGTCGCTCGATTTGGAGCACATGTGTGGACACCAATCATGCAATTCGTATTTGTTGGCATGCGAATGCGTTTTGGCGGACGCCCACGAAGACGCTGTGAGCGCATTGACACCAGCCAACTGACAAAGTCAGCTGTTCTGAATGCGTATCGAAGTACGCTGTCATGCGATTTGGATAAACGATCATTGGATGCAACTGAAGGTCACGGGTCTCATATTCGCCGGATCTTACTTGCAGCAGGAAAATCCTCATGTGTTATGTCTAATAGCCGACATAGACATTGGGTCTCTTCACAGTCTCTGGAACTTATAGATGCTCGCCGGCATATGCCGGCTGGAAGCGAACACAATGAAACTCACAAAGAGCTCCGGGCAAAACTCCGTGCTAGCCTGAAGAGAGACCGCGAATCTTGGTGGTCTCATCGTGCGTCAGAGATGGAAGTGGCCGTTGCCCTTGGCAACCATCGGAAGTTATTCCGTCTAATACGGGAAACGAGCAGCAGGAGACCTCGTGTTAGTGAAACTATGCGTGACGAGGGTGGATAGCCTATCCACAATTTGTCAAAGCGTTTAGAGCGTTGAGCTGCGCATTTTGAAAAGCAAATTAGTCGGCTAGAATTGTTCGATTCTTCGCCGGCCAGTGATCGCCATGCTCAGTGGGCTGTCCCTTTGGATCCACTCTCTCGTTCAGAAGTCGAACGTGAGATCGGACTGCTGAAGTTGAACAAAGCTGCGTCACCAGACACCTTTCTCCAACTCTCTTCAAATTCGGAGGCTCTGCTGTTGTTGATATTTTGCTTGAATTACTAGTGAAACTGTGGGAGCAGGAGATTGTCCCAACCGACTGCGGCCGCTCCGTTATGGTTCCCATCTTCAAAGGCGGCTCGCGTTCGGAATGCAGGAACCATAGGGGAATCAGTCTGATCCCCATCGCCTCCAAATTACTCGCCTCCATAATTCCTCACAGACTGACTAGCGCTCGTGAAAGCCAGACTCGTGAGGAGCAAGCCGGGTTTCGTCGGGGTCGTGGCTGCATCGACCACATCTTCACCTTGCGTCAGTTGTTGGAGCACCATCACATATATTGCCGGCCCAACGTATTCATGTTCTTCGACATCAAAGGTGCCTTCGATTCGGTTGATCGATGTGCCCTTTGGAATTGTCTACTAAGGACAGGTGTGCCCGAGTAATATGTAAATATTATTCGAGCATTATACGCGCGCAGGAAGGGCAGAGTGAGGGCTTACGGCAAGCTGTCGCCCACCTTCAATATCTCCAGCAGTGTGAGACAAGGATGCCCGCTGTCACCTTCCCTTTTCAACTTCGCTATTGACGAAGTCATGGAGTTTGCATTTACAGGACATGACTTGGAAGGTGTGGAACTACTCCCAGGAGAAAGACTTCTTGACTTGGAGTATGCAGACGACATTGCCCCCATCTGTGACAGCTTTCAGACGTGTCTAGCTGCGCTGGATAGAATAACACTAGCTGTCAGCCGCTTCGGGATTTGCAAGGCGTTCCTCTAAGATTGGCAGGGATCGCCTTCTACGCTGACCGTCGGTGCGGATCAGCTAGAAGTCGTTCGGAAATTCAACTTCCTGGGAAGTTGTATCAGCGTCCTTGGGATCGAAGACAAGATCACGAATAGTATAGCAAAAGCTCCAAGTGTTTTGTTAACCTTCGCCACCTATGGCGGCGCCGCGACATAACTCTCGTACTGAAGGGTACAGTGTACAATGCAGCGGTACGTTCGACCCTACTGTACGGTTGCGAAACCTGGCCCCTAAGATCAGCAGATATAAAGAGGCTAGTTACGTTCGACCATCGGAGCATTCTCAGTACGGATGACATTTGGTGGGAACACCGCGTGAAAAATCAGCGTGTTCGACGCCTTGTTTACGGCACAGGAAAAGGAAATGAACCGCTCAGCACCTACATTGCACGCACCAGACTCCGTTGGCTGGGCCACGTGCTGCGCATGCCAGTCCACCGGCCTCCACGACGTGCGTTGTTTGCTCACTGGGGATGTGGATAGAAGAAGAGGAGGGACGGCCAAGCGATGACTTGGCTCAGAGGAATGAAGGCCCTCACTTCGGAGCTGGCACTGGTTGGAGCGTCACGGCTCCATGGTTTGGGTCAAAAAGACGGTGAACCCGTTTGGCTGGATACAATTGCTGACACGGCAAGGAGCCGACCTCAGTGGCGTTCGCATTTTGCGTTTCTTTGTCCCTCCCCATCCCTTTTAGCCTCCCCCTCCACTTACGATCCCATTTCATAGGGTAAAACATAATAATTTTTCTTTTTGCCTAATAGCCAGCTGGTAGCTTACCGGAACGATGCCTATCCGTTGTTGGTAGCTCAGCTGGCATGCAGCTGTTGTATTTATTTTCCCTCATGTATTGCGGCGCAGTAGCTGAGGTGTTTCCCACCTCTGGCTGACGTGTATAATGATGGTGATGTGTTTCCCGGAGAAGACATCAGAAACAAACGTAGCGTATACTCTTGTTTGCAGTGTATCGCCAGCGGTTTATGATAACCACAATTAAGCAGACGAAAATGTACACACTGGGTTCAACCGCACTGAGTCAATGAATTGAAATGTCTACTCGATAAAAATGCAAGCATGTTTTCATTGATACAAATTCGGTTGACGTGACGTAATCGGCATCTTTGTTCGTGCTGGTCTGTGGCCAAGGAGACCTTATACTACCCTTTATGCACACAGATGTAGGGTTGTTAAGCCGGCTTGCCACGTCTCTGCTGCCGACAGCACGAGGCATGTGACCGCTCATCTGTGACGTCCGGGTGCAGGTTGATTGGCTCGAATGGGTCATGAGACTTGATTTACTGTTCGGAGATCACTAGGTGTGACAACACGGCACTCGCCACATCCATCCTCACACTGCTGAAGAATCGAGCTTGGCAACTGTATGGTGTTCTTACTAACAGTTGCCTAGTGGTTTTTCCAAAGTACCTTGCTCGACACAAGTAAGTATTAGTAACGATTGCGCTAACCGGCGCAAGGGTAACTAAGTATTTTGCTAGCCTCACTCCTTAGTATTTCTGGTGGGTGGTCATTTAGATCATCTTCTTTCCTTCATAAACCTCTCCTTGGCAGAATTTAGGCTTAGTAATTTTTATATACACCTTTATCACGTTCTGGATGACTATTAACCAAAACGAGATTTAATGGGCATGTAATAGAATAAGTGAACCAACTTTGCCGTTACAAATGTATTCCCCTAAACCTTATTCTGCTTTCATTCCCATGGCTGATTTAATGGTACTCATTACTTTGAAAATACCCCCTACATTAACCCTTTGGATACCTTTCAGATAACACAGTCTACCTATACGGCAACCAGCCATTTTCAGTCCCTCGAGAACATGGTCAGAAAACATCCACCGTTCCACCTTGGGAGAAATTTGAAGGTAAAGAAAACCCTAATATAAACTTGGACCAAGCACTGGAATATGGCTATGAGGGATTCGATGGACGGCCGCCGCCGGAATTTTGTGCGGATGAACCTAGTTCGCTGGTGGAAGATGAGGAGAATGCTGACTGGCTGTTGAGGTATTCCTCGAGAAGAGCTAGTAGTCATGTTCTTCCGAGGCCCTAAAACATCCGACAGCCTTGACCTCTTAAATAATTCCCATCTCGCGGTCACTTACCTTCTCAAAATAACTGGACAAAAGAAACAATCTTAATGCAGGCTTCTTGAAGGAACATAAGAATAGATGCATCTATGGTATTTTAGTTATTATATTGTTTTGTTTAAGTAACTCATTGTACTGAGTTACGTTCTCACGAGTGTACAAGTATTCTAAAATATAATTTCACTTTTGATTTGGTTCATAATTGTGTCAATCCTATCCGAAATGCGCAATCTCGCCGAAATCAAGTTCCAACTATGTATCCCATGTCTTTCCGCATTTCTTGGGTTGCCTAGAGTAAAAATCCTAACATCAAGTTGTAGTTATTGTGCTGTTAGTCTTTATAGAGGAATTTTAGCGGGCGTATATGCGAATACTAAATTTGGGGGAAATATCAATCTTTTAATTATCCTCGGTAGTGGCTCGCACATTCCCAAGATGGTAATGTTTGTTTAAGCCCCAACTGGTGAAGGTCTGCTTACATAACACGAGATATCTTAGAGTCCAAAGAAGCACTACTGTTTACTTTTTTGCCTTTTTATCTACTGGTGGCACAAACTGACCACTGTAGTAATGCATACTGCCTTGGTTCAACAGTAGATAAAGGTAAAGGTTTTGTTAATGATAGTAATATTTTCTGTCTCCCTCATTTATAAAATAAGGAACCGCAAGATAGTACCTTAAACCTGGATGCAAGATTATTAGTCTTGTGTCGCTATTGGCGCAGACCGAATTCGTGCTTGTTCTTGATTTGAAAAAAAGTAGTCAGAATGGGGTTAAGCAGCTCGAGGCAGAGTGCTGTGAACACACTCCTGATAAAATCCACTTGGTTGGGTTCTCATGGAGCTGTTTCTTGTCTTATGTTATTAGACACGTCTTGTTCTAAACTATACTAATGAGGAGATACACTTCCACTGAAGTGCGGTGTCCAGAGTTGGGTATGCTTTGGCGAAACCAATGACAAATAGCCGGAAAACTATTTACTCATTAATTCCGGTAGTAGATATCAAAGACAATTTACTTCGAGTATCAAGCGATTGATACACCAACAAGGCATAGTAAAATGTGATGGAGGTGGGAGAGCTTTACCGCAAAATATTCTTTTGCTACTAGGCATGGTGTGAGGAAATTAGCTACGGGATTCTGGTAGTAGGGGGCTCAAGGCGAATAATTTAGCTGTGCAGGTTTCAACTTATGTCATAGTTTGGTTGCTTAGAACAAGTAGCCAATGATAACTCTCTTGTGTGAGAAGTCAGCCAACTTTTACCTGGCCTCAAGCGATTACGGTGAGATAGTGACCGGTTAGTTTACCAATAATTGTGAAAGTTTGGAACATTGGAAAAATGGGTTTAGCATGGATAAAAAAGTAAAACGCTAAACAGTTTCCTTTCGTCAGTATGGAGATCAAACATGGACTCATCAAGTAAACAATAACTAATAGCTGTAGATTTACTGAAAATTTTACTTGAATGTCGCTTGGTTACTTAGGTTAACTCATACGTTTCAAGTGGTATAACGCATCCTCAAGGTAGGAGCGGACGTGATCTATTGCGGAAATCAGTTCCACGGCTGAGATACACTAATGGAGCAGAAACTACGGTGACATTCTAACCGGCTGTACTGTGTGACTAGTTTCAAACAGTGGCATCTTAGTCTGGTATTTTGCATGAGATTCACTAAAAGTCGATATAGGCCGTTATGATATTTAAAGATCTGTTATATCAATACGACAGCACCTCCCGGGATGGCATATTGTTCGCTGAATATTCCTAGAGTCTTCCGTCTCAAAAGGAGAGGGAGGTGGAGGAAGCCCGTCTTTTGTTTCTTTCCCTTCTAGGTACTCATGAGCAGCGTGGTCAAGTTTATGCCATAGGTGTCACATATGAACAGCGTATTTCACATGTGGCCTCAACTAGGCATTTAGCATATGCAAAACAAAGGTGTGATCAAAACGTCCAAACTCAATCCAGAGTAAGTCCAGTTGTTTTCTGACTTTATCACTTCTTTCTTAACCTTCCATGAGCAATCCATACCATCCTGCACGAGCTTCCGATGATCGCTTTCAAAAGAAGTATGCTGCAGGACCTTTCCTCCCAACCAGTATCCGTCGATGCGCTCGTGGTGCATGCGCATTTTGTTACATGTGATGGGTTTAAACTCAGACAAGTCCTTACCCAAGTACTCGTAAGCCTTGTTGAGATTGTCTTGTAGTGCCATGTGGTCGCCCGCTCGCTTGATTAGTTGCTAAATCTTGAAATCCTACACACAGAGAGGAAAGTATAATGTCAAAACTCCCGCGAGGTCATATGCGAAGACTAATAATAGTCTTGGTCTTAGTACTGAGCCTTGAAGTAATCCACAGTGAACCGCCATCTGGTAGCAGGGGGTGCCAGGAACGCGCACATCCAAGCAGAGCTGGAGTATGAATGAATGTATCCACCTCAGCATCGAGTAACCGATCAAATAACTCCGCTGTCTGTAAAGACGAATGCAGTGGTCTAGGCGATCAAAAGCGTTCGGGAAAGCAACATAAGTAACGTCGACTCCTATCCAGCATCGACAAATTCAGCCTAACTGCTAATGATTTAAAAAAGTTTCGTGGCACACGTGCAGTTGTGGCGGAACCCATGATGCTCTTGCACAATGACAAGGCACCTTTCTAAATATCCAACGAGTGCTTCTGCTGCGATAAATTTCATAACTTTAGCAGGCACAGGGAGAAGAGTACTCGAGCTGTCGTTTACAGGCAGTGCGCAATTTCCTCCTTGAATTCGGGGTGCACATTGCGCGTTTTTACATGGCTGGAATCTTAATTTTCTCGAAGCAGCGCCGGAAGAACTGAGATAACGGTTCAGCTAAGTTCCCGGTAGCTATTTTCAAGTACTTTGTTTGTATATGGACCAAGTGAACTGTACTCGCGTAGTGACATCAGTTGTTTCAGCATATCTGCGGCAGTGACGATGTGGCTATATCCTGGTGGCGACGTGATCTGTGTGATGATGGTATAAGGCAGCGGTGTCTGCTGGAAAGTACTAGCGAATTAATGTCTAAGAACAGTAGCTGCTTCTTGAGCAGTATGTGCTTGCCCGCATACTAGGTTTATAGTTGGGATGCCACACCGTACATTGTGGAGAATGTTAACATGCGTGGAAAGCAGATTTAGATTTCAACATGTAAATAGCATGTAAATAGCATCTAATAGAAACAGTCTTTACATTATGCTTCTAAGCATTTTTGGCTGCACAGAACGTAAGTTGAACCGAATTTACTAACAAAGCTGCTTAATGTGGATAATTGCAATGGGTTTAGAAAGACAAGCTTAACGCACCGATAAGTGAAAACTGAGCAGGAATATGCAAATTTATGGCAATGATTCGGAAAAATTTACGAATTTTAGACGATAAATCTGCAGTCTCCAGAAACAATGCTGCTACTGGGTACAAATAGATAGTTACTGTGTTTAGGTAGATCGCAGGTCATCAAGATTACAATAAGTTTAGTCAGTATAGACACCAAAGATACTAAATTACCAGACGAAAGCAAATCGTAAGGGCGCTGCAAGTCCATGTGTAAATTCGACGCATTATGCCCTCGGGTAGCTAAGGTTTATACATCTTTTGTTGAAGAGTCAAATGGCGCGCGCACCTTCTGGCGAAAAAGATGGACCTTGCAATGCATACTGATATTGATTTACATCGAAATCTAGTCGTTTTCTTATTGTATCTGTGCTAGGTTTAAATTTTCACGAATCAGCTCGTTATTCCTTGTTCAGATAAAGAAGTTATTTACACAGGCAGTCAGGCTTACCATAAACCTGTTATCAAATATACGTGGCGATCCTTTTGAATGGCGTTATGGATACATTTTAACAGGTGTAAGTGACTGTTAGTCATCATATTCGTATTACCTTGTTCAAGTGTTATATCAACTTGCAGTCGTCGCAATCCTATGATTAATATGAATAATGTATTTAATCCACTATTGAGTGGAAGCTTATGCACATCCTTGTTTCTCCTGTGCTCTGAACGCTCAAAGATTAAGGTTACGCCTGTAGATAGTTTATGATATGCTTGCTCCCAACACTGACCTCACCAACTGGTTTCGTGCTGATATGGACTTTACATTTAGTGATAGCCTTAGCTGAGGGATGAACTGGACACTGTGTTTGACGGTTCACACATGGGTCAATAGGTCAGAGCTCCTGCGAGTAAAGCTTGACATAGTAGTTTGGACTTCGTCGTCGTGTCTTGATGTACCCGCTATTTTAAGGGCTTTAAGCTCAAAGAAGTTATGCTGAAGAGAATACGGCAATTATTGCCCAATCAAGTAGTTCAAAATCCAGTGTAAAGTTATCGCGCGTTTATCTGCATCCCCGAGTTAGTTATAGCGTGACGTATATTTTCGAGGCATGGCTTTCAGTCTTGGCTGTTTTTATAATTCCTGTTCAACGGATTTACTACGCTCAAGTGTTAGAGCACCACATTTGATCGCTTTGCTCCAATTCCACAATAATTTATGTTGTAACTAGGGAGGTACTTGGTTGCACTCCAGATGTCTTAAAACAAGGCTGCTCAAACTTTTCGCCCGCAGACCGCTTTTAGTGGGACCTGGCACGGCGGACTTCCTGACATTGTTAACCACAGGAGTAGGCTTTAATAAAATGAAAATGAGGCGGTGTCCTGGAAAAGGTCATGACGGCACATTGAATTAAAACGGGTATTGATGATACTATGTAATGAAAGCTGTTGAACTTAGGTGAAAAATTAACGTACACTAAGTTTTATTGTGTGAGGTGACATTGTTGCTGACGTGCAGCCTTGATTCGTTTGATGCCTGGTGTTACTGAAGAATGCTGCAACTTCATATATGGTTCAGCTTCAAGTCTCTTGCTGTATGTTATTTTTGTGTAGGTGTACTGGGAAAATACTCTTTCACACATAATTTGTATCAAATTGGAGAAGCACAG